TCGAGGATTCGCACCCGCCGCGAGCTGAGCCTCGGTCTGTACGAGCACGGGGTGTTCGACGCGGGGGGATCCTACTGCCAGCGGGGGAACGTGTGCTGCCACGGCCGCGACGACGGCTGCACCGTGCCCTACCACGACACCCTCTGCTACTGCGACCTCTTCTGCAACCGCACCGTGTCCGACTGCTGCCCCGACTTGCCTGGGTTCCCCACCGCCCTTCCCCAAAGCGCCAGGTGAGGCACTGCCAGCCCAGCGGGGCAGGGAGCTGGGGGTGCCCGATGTGATGCTGCTGGGGCTCCTTGGGGTAACTGCTGTGACACCCCACGGTGCTGCTCTTGCTGCTGAGCTGTTCCAGACACCCAGACTGGGCTGGGAGCTGGGAGCAGCTCACAATCCATTCCCGGAGGGGCAGCTCCAGCAGGACATGCCTGTGGGGCAGAGTAAGGACGTGGGGGAACTCGATCCCAGCCTGCCCGGTCACGTCTGGGGCAGGCGGATGCTGGGCCTGATTTAACCCTCCCAGCAGCTGGGACGGGTAGGGCAGCCAGGGGGGAGAAAGGGGCACGGGCAGGGCAGCCAGGGGGGAGAAAGGGGCATGGGCAGCACAAGGCTGTCTCAGAAGTCCCTGCAGAGCAGAGCCAGCTCCCGCGTACAACCGGCCCCTTTATCCCTGTCCCGCCAGGCTGTGCCTGCGAGGCTCTCTCTGCTCGCCAGTCCCACTGTTAACCCTCCCCGTGCCAAGCCAGCACTGCGCCCTGGGCACGAACTGGCTCCCATCGCAGGTTTGGGGGTGCCACGGTGCAGTTAGGCACCTGCCTGGCTTGAAGAAACACATTTATTTTCCCTTTGGTGTGTACCCCCTGCAGCATGGGGGTGCAGGCAGCACCCCTGGCACAGCTAAGCACTCACTGGAGCTTTTCCCTCTCCCATCCAGGCTGTGCCCGTGCCGGACTCAACTATCCCACTGGAGCTACATACCGGGAGAACTGCAACCTGTGGTGAGTGGCTCTGTGCTCCCTGAGCTGTGTGGGCACCTCTGGCATGGCACTGGCACACTGTCTGCCTGGAGGAAGGTGTTGGGATCCTGTAGGCACCTCTGGCATGCTACCTGCCTGAAGGAAGGTCTTGGGATCCTCTGGGCACCACTGGCATGGCACTGGCATGCTACCTACCTGGAGGAAGGTGTTGGGATCCTGTAGGCACCTCTGGTGTGGCATCACCATGCTGCCTGCCTGGAGGAAGGTGTTGGGATGCTGTAGGCACCTCTGGCATGGCACTGGCACACTGTCTGCCTGGAGGAAGGTGTTGGGATCCTGTAGGCACCTCTGGCATGCTACCTGCCTGAAGGAAGGTCTTGGGATTGCCTGGAGGAAGCTGTTGGGATGCTGTAGGCACCTCTGGCATGGCACTGGCACACTACCTGCCTGGAGGAAGGTGTTGGGATCCTGTAGGCACCTCTGGTGTGGCATCACCATGCTGCCTGCCTGGAGGAAGGTGTTGGGATGCTGTAGGCACCTCTGGCATGGCACTGGCACACTACCTGCCTGGAGGAAGGTGTTGGGATCCTGTAGGCACCTCTGGTGTGGCATCACCATGCTGCCTGCCTGGAGGAAGGTGTTGGGATGCTGTAGGCACCTCTGGCATGGCACTGGCACACTACCTGCCTGGAGGAAGGCATCAGGGTCCTGTGAGCACCTGGGCACAGTGTCTGCTTGGAGGAAGGCGTTGGTGTCCCGTGGGGGTCCCGTGGGCACCGGAGCTCAGTGGAGCACGGGTTGGGTGGTGGGAGGCAGTGCCAAACGCCTTTGCCGTGGCACATGGAGAGCCCAGAGCTCGGGGCTTTGAGCCACTCCCAGATTTCAGCGCATGCTGCGTGGGAGCTCGGGAGGGATAACACCGGCCAGGCTGCCCACACAGCCGCGGCTTTTGGCCACGCTGGTCCCAGCCCAGCTTGCCCAAGCTTGACGGGACGAGTTGGCAGCCGTCGTGGCTCGGTGCCCGCGGCCGAACTCCGACCCTGCCTCCTTCTCGGAGCCCCAGGAGGTCGCTGCGGGTTATCTGGGAACACTGGTATTACTGGCATCCGGAGGTTGGGGAGGAGAAGGGAACCTGCGGGCTCAGAGCTGCCGGAGACAGGGAGAGAGAACCCGGCGGGGAGATGCGGCAGATAAGGGAAATCAAAGGCTGTGTCTGTGTGAACATGTGTGTGCAGGCGTGTGCAGGAGGGGAAAAGTCAGTCCGACCCTCCCCAGAACTGCGGTGCTGCCTGGTGTTTTGTCGGGATTTATGGCACGGGGGGGGGCC